TAGTCTGATCGGTCACTGAAGATGATTTTCTAACAAATATACTCAGAAAGAGAGGTTCAAGGAAATCACAACCTTTTCAAGAATTGGTAAATGTAGCTCCAAAAAAGTCTTTTTTAAAAGAGAACATGTGACCTGGAGCCAAATATCTCAGAAGTAAACTCTTCACTCTGATCCCCGACTACATGAGGTTGCATAAACTCTTTGCAACGTGGACACAATTCATGTGTAGAAGAATAAAAGAGAAGCCTAATTTCACTCTAGTAAAATTTGTATTTTTACTTCATTTTTGCTGCCCAACTAAATAAGGAGAAAAGGGAGTGTCAAGACAAGGACAAATGAAGCTGTGAAAACACATTGACACATTTTCTACATCTGAACTTGTGCTCATGGGTATTATTTGTGTCCTAGATTAACACATGCATAACAAAGAATTTCTTCTTATAATCTTGTGGAATCAAGAGGGTGAGGCAAGGCTTCCTTTGGAAGAATACAGTGTTTTGAAAATTGAATAATGAAGGTATTCATACAAAACTCTGAGACACCATTTTCATTGTGGATCAGATATATACAGCTTCATCAAGTTCGAATCACAGAACAAAAATGCAAATAAATCAATTTGATTCTAATCAAATTCTCAACACCTTTTCCCCTCTACTTTGTTTTTTCTCCTTCTAGGGCTAAGATACTTAAGCCATTTTCTTGCATTTTCCCAAATAGCCTTATATCATTATCCTTTATCTGCTTTACTTTGCATATGATGAGTCATATTAAGAATAAAACCCATGAATTTCAATGTATTAGGAATCTCTGTGTGAAACTGCACTTTACCCTGCAACCTGTCACATCATGTCACAGAAACTCCCATTGTCTATGAGCCAGAATGTTGATGTCTCGGCACAACTCTGTGACAGTAATCCAATTTACCTCTGCAGGCCCAGTCACTTCTACACAGGAAGTGAATTTACTAAGGTCAAAATGGCAATCTTTCAACAAACTAAGTGTATATACACTGCTATCACCCAGCATATATTTACCTTAATATATTTTGAAAGAGAAACAAAATCAATTACAATTAAGTGGCAATTTAGTAACAAATATTCAGGTTTTCTTCTGGAATCATATTACATCCATTAGCTTTCCCTGATGTCAGCTAATAACACTGACTGAAAATACCCAAAGTGCTTATTTTTCTCCCACGATGGCTGTGCCGTGCACAGGAAACAAAGAACAACTATAGAGAAGGGGTTGAAGGTATTTTTGCCAGCATTTCACTTTTCTCAAATTGGCTTCTGAAGATCCTCCTGCTTTTGAAGTCACATGTAATAACAGCGTGTGTCTCTGGCATTTCCCACATGTTTGTGCAGGCCCAGACTGCACTGTAAGCACAGGACAGGCCTAGGAGACGGCAGGGTGTGCCCCAGACTCTTGGGTAAGATTCCTGAAAAGGAGCCAGGGATGCTGGGAGCCCGAGGCTAAGGCAGAACACCAAGCCTCTCCCACCTTGAGGACTCATGAAACTTACCACACCCAAAGAACACCATAAACCAGTTTATCCTGAATGGAAGTACAGTGCTTGTCTTTTTTTTTGTTTTCCCCCATGTGGTGAAACGCACCCAGCATGAGATCGACCTCCCAACGAATGGTTATGTGGATAGTATTGTTAACTGTAGGCACAATGTTGTTTGTATAGGGGATCCCCAGAACATTTTCATCTTGAGTGACTGAAACTCATACCCAATGGAAGGGCAACTGCCTGTTTTCTCCTCCCAGCAGTCCCTGGCAACCACCATTCTATTTCCTGTTTCTATGAGTTTGGCTACATTTGATACCTCATCTAAGTAATATCATGCAGTAGTTGTCTTTCTGTGACCGGCTTGTTTCACTTAGCATGATGTCCTCAAGGTTCATCCATCTTCTAGCTGTGACATAGTTTCGTTCTTTTTTGTGGCTGAATGATACAACCACTTTAGAAAATAACATGGCAATTTCTCATAAGATTAAATGTGAAACTACTATATGATCCAGCAATCTCATTCCTGCCTACTTATCATGAAGAATTGAAGTTAGAATCTTGAAGAGATATCTGTGCCCCCATGTCAAGCGCAGCACTATTCACAACAGCCCAGAGGTGGACGCACCTAAATGCCCATTCATGGATGAACAGGTGAAGGAAATGCGATGTATGCACATATAAGGAAAGTACGATTCTTAACTATCTTTCAGTAATCTCCAATTGCTTCTTTGTTTGACTAGTAGGTAAGAATCTGGGTTTACTTCTTTTATATTCCAGAAATAAAGCTCCTTTCACTTTTCTTTTACTCCGTGTCAATTTCAAGTCCTAATTGAGCCAAAATGGCCGAAAATTAACCTGTCATTTGAGATTTTTATCTTCACGCCCATTTTCTGTAGCCGAGTGTAAGGTTCACCTTCTCCTACGGAGTACCCGAGGAAACTGAGTAGAAGGAGCATATGATGCTTATTCATTGACTCACACAGGTGGCCATTAAGGCAGCTGCTAATCTAATCCCAGCCACCTGGGTGCCTGAGACCTGGCGTCTGTATGTGTCAATTCTATGGCACTTGACAGAGCATATAAAAAACACAGAAGGATTTAGTTTCATAAATGAGATGGGAGTTTCAGAGTAAGTGCAAAATATCAGAAAGAAGAACATAAGATTTCCTTAGGTATTATAACCATATTTGAAGGAAAAATATAAGGGTTTTCCAACCATCCCCATTGCCCTCCCCTCCTAACCCCCCCCCCAGCCTCCTCCCCACCCCCCCCCCCAACTGCCCATCCATATCTGAATCACATGCCTTCTCTGCCTTCCCAGGAGCATAACTGGGCAGCCAGCCAACCAGGTCAGGAGGGAAATGCATAATAGGTACTGGCAAAGATAATAGTTACTAAGTAGATAAGAGGCTGCCACTTTTTTGGTTAATTTATTTTTAAGCAGCGGATAGTACTTTAGCATGGGTCCCTCTTGGTCGTGAAGGTAAAAAGTCTGGACAGGGGCACCCTGGAGGTGTCCGGTGGTGTGACACAGAAAGCATTCCAGCACGGCAATGTAGTGCACGCGTTCAGCACAACTACACTGCAGAATGGGCTCTAGCCAGCACGCCGGCTGCTGTAGAGGGCAGAGAGACAGAAAGATAGTCAAGAGCACAGATCTATCTTTGTAGCTCAGAATGAAACAGAGGATAAAGCAAGTTTTCAACTTGAGTTTTCATTCTTGAGGTCATTTTACTCTGTATTTTTGAGTATAGGTTTTAGAATTATGCCCAGATTGATAAATTTCTGTCCAGAAAATATTTTCCAGTTCATATGAAATTAAGGCATTTTGATTTTCCAAATTCTTGTACGGCAATGTTAAACTCTTTACAACTTTCTACTATGTTTTATTAGAATTATTTTAATAAGACTGAATTTTTATTTATATTTTGCAAAAAAGTATTGATTAATTTGCTCAATAGATATTTGTATGAAATTTTACTGATTATAGCACCTGCACTGTTTTCTTTGGGACCATTTAGCCTGGCCAATTTTTATAGCTCTGATTTTTGCCAAAATATGACATTTTAAAAAATATCAGTATTTTAGCCCTGGCTGGTGTAGCTCAGTGGATTGAGCGCGGGCCTGCAAACCAGGCAATTGCAGTTTGATTCCCAGTCAGGGCACATGCCTGGGTTGCAAGCTGGTTCCCTGCAGGCCAGTTCCCAGCAGGGGATGCATGAAAGGCAACCATACATTGATGTGTGTCTCTCCCTTTTTCCTTCCCTTCCCCTCTAAAGATAAATAAATAATTTTTTTAAAAATCGGTATTTTAAAATTAGTATATCAGTACTAATATTTTACATTAGTATATTAGTACATATGGTTATATTTATCATCAGATCTATTTTTGCTTTATTACATTTGATTTTCACACAAACAAACATACTCACTTCGAATTTGCAAATGCTGATGGTTGTATTGGTTTCTGAGAAATTCTGAACATGGACTTTCAGATATTGTAGGATTTCTTTCCAAAGTAAAAGGATGAAAAAAGTTTTTAACTTCAGTGAAAGAAGCCAGACACATAAGCACATATATTGTGTGATTCCACTTACGTGAAGTGTCCAGAATCGGCAAACCCACAGAGCCAGAAAACAGACTGGGGGCTGCGGGGGGCAGAGGGAATGGAGACAGGCACAGGGACGGCTTAAAAGGCCCCTTTCTGAGGAGCTGACAACCTGCAACTAGACAGTGGTGGTGTTGCGCAGCAGTCTGAGTGCACTGATTACCTCTAATGACACACTTCAAAATGAACAAAACAGTGAATTTAAAAAAAATAAGTAAATGAAAAATGAAAGATATGAAGCTTAAACGGATGAAATCAGAATAACCTGCCAGAACAGAGAGGCCTACAAACTCCACCTGGATCTCGGTTTTCTAAGTCGCAGCCACCTTAACAGTTTCTGCCCATGCGGCCAATGTGACTTTTAATGAAAACAAGTCATGAAGGAGCTGTCTAGGGCTCAGATTACTCCTTTAAAAAATTCACACGCTGGCAATGTTCCTTGTTCAAAATGAACACAAAATACAAATCAACTGTAATTCCATTGTCTGGAAATAATCTATTCAGGTCTTTTGTTCCCCACAGATGCATAAATGTCCAATCCCATTTCCCCAAATGAGATTAGACATCGTTTTATAGCATATTCAGCTCAATAATTTTACTGCCTATATACCTATGACTTCTGAATCTTTTACTATGTACAGGCAATATTCTACATGTTTTAAATGTGTTAATTTCATGAGGTCAATATTGTTATTTTGATTTAAAAAATGAGAAAACTAAAAAAGAAGATAAGTAGCTTTTCTAAAGTCCACAGAATGAGGAAGTGAGAGAGCCAGGAGGCAAATTCAAACAGTCTGACTCTGGAATCCACGCTGTTCACTCACCGTGACCCAGGATTTAACCAAATCAATTCTCATGGACACTTGGAATTTATCCAGTTTTTTATTTCAAAAAAGAAAAAATTCAACAACATTCTTGAAACCAAATATTTACACACAAAAAAATAATGACCACAATAAAAGTTTTGAAATTTAAGCTGTAATTCAAATTATATTAGCATTTGAAGCTATTGATACAATTCATAAATTCTTGAAGCGGTCAGCCTTACATTTGCCAGGAAGCCGGTGCTGGAGCACAGACATCTGGGGAGAAGATTCACTGTGAGGCACACAGCACCGTAATTCAGTTGTAATTAACACTTGGAAGTTACACATCCTCTAAGTTGCAGAACCAAGGTTGGACTATCACTTGCTTTTTTCTCTTTCATCCTTGCTTTCTTTTTTAACTCCTAATGTTTCCCCTTGACTACACTGCTCCTCCAAGTAGAATCCTGCATCAGCCTTTTATTTCTGGTGCAATCTGTAATCACAACCACTTTCTAATCCTTCTTTACTCAAACAAAATCAAATGATAGGTAGGTAGGTAGACAGATAGATGGAGCGATAGGTAAAGATAATCATTTGCCCCAAATAGTAATCCCCCCAAATAGTACCATATATATTAATAATGTTAACAATTTACCCATTCTCTAAGATATTCTCCAGTAATACAATAAAGGCATTACTGAGAATCACTATTTCTATGCCAGTCTTAAGCACACTTTTATAACATATTTACCATGGAATAATTTTATTCCTGAAAATAATAAAGATAGGAATCAAATTAACATTGTGTTTTTATGTCCTGTATCCATAAATATTATTTTATGCATCCAAGTTTTGCTTTTAACTTGCCTTGTTTCTTTCAAAATAAAGTAACTTCTTAATAGCAAAATTAAACTCTGTTACAAATGTTTCAAAACAAACCTCACTGCATTTTATAGTTAACTGCTTCTTTATAAACATAAGAAAAAACAACCTGTACCTGTACATTAAAAATTGAAGAACTAGAAAATCAAAGCTTTAAAAAGATACTTTCTTTCATACTAAAACAGCTTAATTTTCACCTTACACATATGAGGAAAGAAGAATACCACATGTTAACAATGTTCCTATTAAAAATAAGAAAATCTTAAAAGGAAATTACTCTTTCAAACGTGTAAGTCTATAAAAATCTAGGTTTCAGGAGCAAATAAGAAAACCCAAAATGTAGCACTGAATAAGAATTTTACAGCACATTTAATTGAAGACCTTCTATCTTAGGGACCAGAGGGCGACAGAGGAGTGAAGCATTTCCCATGGAGGCCCTGTTTGTTCTATACAACCAGTTCAGGCCCATCCTGTAATTGCCTTCAGACTCATCATGCAGTCAGCCCCACTCTGGCACTCCACACTCCAAACAAGGTGAGGCCCAGACAAGGGTTAGTAATCCTGCCCCCAAATCAAATGGCAGCTGCCAGAGGCCTGAGTAAAGACAGAAAAGGAAGCACCTGGCCTAGGAAAAACTATGAAGCAAACAATGTTACATTTTTGGGCCTCTCTTCTTGCCCCTGAAGGCCTGAGTTTTCATGATGGTCTCTGACTTGTCCAAACCCTCCTTGGGTTTGTCCTCACCAAAAGTTCCCTTTGTCCCCATACACACACACACACACGCACGCACACACACACATATATACAGTCAGTTCAAACTATAGCCTATAGAAGCTGGCCACTTCATGGGCTAGCTTCATGTAAACTGCAGGTTTATAGTTGTGAGTATGCAAAACAGAGTTTATTGTTTTATGATTATTATTATTATTACTTACATTACAACAGAAAATGTACTTTTGCCCCTGTATTTCTAGTCCAGTTTTTAAACTATCACTTGAAGTAAGTATACAACAATGTGATTAGATTTACCATAAATTTAGGTATTCATTATTTTACGTTTATGACTTTACTGCCTTAAAGTATTCCACTGGCCTTCCAGGGGCTCTATCATAAACAAATTTGGGAAGCACTAAATTGAAGGAACACCTTGCAAGATACTGACTTCCACCAAGGGGTTAAGTTTCCCTATATTCTTTTGATTCTTTACAGCATTTTGTAATATCTACCTGCCTTAATAAGGAGTAATGCATTTTATTTGAAAATGGCAGTGAATGAAAATGCATGCTTATCCCTCATTGCTACTCATAATAATGATAGGAGTCTGTTTTTTCAGACTACAAAGCATAACTACAATCCATCTAAGAATAACATATTCTAATTTCAAATGGCTACTAAAGAGGAAATAAGAGCCACATGTGCTAAAATTGCAAATAAAAATACAAAAGTACAATACTCAAGAGAAGAAAAGCAACATTTTTTCAGCATAATTTTTATTCCTGGCAAGTTTTTGATAGTAGTCCTGAATCTTGGGGCAAAAATGGTTAAGATTAGGGATTATGATCTCAATAAAAAATGTTTAGTATTTTTCATTCAAATATGGCAATAACTCTCTGTATGTTGAATACAGTTTTGTTTCTTGAGAATAAATGAAGTTATACTCCTCATAATAATCTTTTATAAGCCATAAAGCACTTTCAAAAGCATAAAAATAACAATTTCTTGGCTTACACTTTCTTAGCGTAGTTTAAAGTTGTGGCTATGTATTTTTGAGACCTCTATTAAGGCAACCAAGCACAGAAGACTGCTCCTCATTATCTTATTGCTAACCAGAAAGAAAACAAAATTCTAGAAATCATAGAAACTACTGACTAAGTACTACTAATATTTTAGAGCTAAAAAAAATCCAGAAAAATTTGCCATAGTATTTGAGATAATCCTATTCTACTTAAATCTAAACCTGGAACCAGAACAGAATTTCAGCCCAGAGAGCTGTTTTGTTATATCCAATCAAATACAGCTTAGCCATTTGTTGGACTAATATTTACCCAACATATTTATTGGAAAATATCTATAAAGGAGAACAGATCCTTTATAGACCTTAAATCCAATTTGATAGCATGAGATTTGCCAGTTATTTATTTACTCAGCTTTAAAGGAGGCAAACATCTATTTTAACATTTCAACTTTGTGAAAAAGATAAGCAATACATTGCTTGGAAAATATTGTACAAATTGGTAATTGACACAATTCAAAATTTAGAAAAATTCATACAGTCATATTCATATCTATATGTATTTAGAAATGGATATCAAATGTTACAGTATCCCTTTTGGAAATATTCAGAAATGTTAGACAAAATCACGTCTAATTGCATCACTGTAATGTTTATCTTTTTGTGCATGTTTCTGCTAATGTAGTAAATTTAGCTTCCAGGTTATTTAAAAAGTCCAGACCTTCTTCTTCCTGTTTGTCACTGCAGCAGCCTACAGAACCAACTGGAGACCCTCTTCCTTCGTAGTTATACGTGAGGACATAATCTCGAGATGAGAGGTGGTCTTCGTTCTTATTATATTGGTGCAATTTCTGTAAAATAAAACAAAGGATTGCATTATTGTTTTAAACACACAAACATATAAACATAAAATTTATTTTTTATTTACCTGGTATGTTTAATTTTTAACCAGTGTGTCCTCTAATGGAGTCCTACATACAAAAAATGCACATGATTGGTCTATATCACAACCATACCATAAAGTCAGTATACTTTACATTTCTAGTAATCCATACAAATAAAAAATTAGGTAGGCAAATGTCACATTTAAGTACGTTTAAATTATCATGGAATGTTTATTCCTAAATTTTATGTCTAGAGTTCAGGCTAGCCCACAGCACGATGCATTAGGATTTTGAGCTTCAATGGTCACATAGTCCTTACTTTGAGTCATAGCTCTGGTATTAACCAACTAGCTATCTGACTCGGAGCAAGTTACTAAATATTTTTGTCTCCCTTTTCTCAAGTGTAAAATGGGAATATAGACAGTGACCATTTCCCAGGATCATTGTTAAATGATGAAATAGTAGTGTATGAAAAATATTCTTATTATTCCAGGCACATAGTAAACAGACAATAGATGTTAACTATAATCACTACATATTTTGTGCAGTTAGAAAGTAGATAAGAATTACATCATTGGCTTCAGAATCAAGTTTAAAAGACAGCCAAAACGTGACAAAACAGAGATGTACAAAAACTTACAGTGAAATTCAAAATAACATAACCCACATAGCAAAATCTGGCATTGCAGAATGGAGGGGCCAGGCACTCAGCCACGTCTCCCTTCCCATCCATTGCTGGCCAGTCTCCTCACCTGTCAAACGCTTCTGCCTCCTCCCTTCCTCACCTGGGTGTCCTCCCTCTCTAACCCGAGCTCATTTGCTTGCTTTGCATTAGCAAACGTCTCCCTTCTTAACCATTTTAGCCTCACATCTCATTCCTTCATGTGCACATTGAAAACCACACCTAAGAGTGCTTTCTTAAGCTTTCTGTGTAGAAACAGAAAACTGAATGAACTTCATGAAAAAATGTGCAGCGGACATAGGATAGGCTACAGCGGAGTCACAGAATGTTGCCCATTTGTGGTCCGTGGATTAAGGGCTTCCGGTCTTTGTCTTCCAAAGGCACTGGCTTCCTGAGATCAAAGAAGTGAAACCTTAGAGCCAGAAAGAAGTTTAATCCAGTGATTCTCTGCCTGGGCCGCACATTTGAATCACCTCAGGAGCCTTGGGGGTGGGAAAAAGCCAAACCAATTAAATGAGAATATTTCGAGGAGGAACACAGGCATTAGTATTTTTTTTCAAGGCTTCCCAGGCGATTTTGATGTGCTATCAGGCTTGAAAATCCCTCATTTAGCCTCTCCTTTCTTTCGCTTCTTTGCTTTCCTCTGAATAAAACATGTTATGTTTGCATCATGCTTTTACATTGAAAATAGTTCAGGCAGGTCATATTATTTAATGTTAATCCTAGAATTATGTACAGATGCTTTGTTTTCATAGAAAGTGGATATTTGATTTGGGAAGTTTTATAATTGTGAGGAATTAAATTTTTTTAGTATTCCTTATTGAAAACGCTTGTGAGGTAAATAAATACACAACTAAAATTAATGTAAGTTAAGTCAGGGATATTTAAAACCTGCAGTTTTCATGACATTTTAGAAATTAAAATAACAGATGAAATAAAATTTCTTTTATATTAAATAATGTAACGCAATCAAAGAGCAAGGCAAAAATAATTGGAGAGGGAGAAAGAGATCGTGAAGAATATCAAAAAGCAGTTTCTTAAAATATGTATGTTAATACGAATTCCCTGTTGTCCCCCACTTGGACATTTAAATAATAGAGTGAAATCGCTTAAGAAAACTCACGTCACGAAGATGAGGCTGAGTGAAATTGTGCCACTCCGAGTAGGTGTGTCTGGAGTTTTCCATTTCCACGTGTCCCCCCCTGCAGGAATCCAGGGTGTGATGGTGACTCCGGCCCGATTCTAAGGTGTGGTGCCCTCCTTTCACCATTTCAATGGTTTCCAGACCTCCGTTTTTGACTCCTGACCCCATAGTACCACAAAAGCCATGGTTAGAGTTGTTGACTGTCTGGGTCGTAAACCCATTGGCAGAGCACTGAAATAAAATAATAAAATAAAATAAGCCATTCCTATTGGGAGAAACTGATTCCAAGAAAAGTCACAAGAAAACAAGGGAAGAAGAACATTTATGCCATCTTTTATTCATTCATTAATTAAACAGACATGTATCACTTTTCAACTATATGCTCAGTCTAAGAATGAAAATATAGGGATAGTCATTCAGTGGCTCCAAGAAGCTCTTATCCCAGTGAGGCAGAAGACAGAAAATTACGTTAAGAATGTGATTATTCTGATAAGCAGGTAAACAGAGAAAATACAAGCACAGAAAAAGAACATCAAAATTTGAATCCAGAGAGATTAACTGTAGTAGACTTGGAAAACTGAGCTGAAGCGCTCCTACTAAGCAACAGGAAAAACACGCTCCCTGCAGGAGGGTCTACAGACTAAGGTGCTCTAGGGACCCTCCACTTCAGCCTGCTGAGCCTGGCTACCACATACAACTAAGAGAGAGAGAGAGAGAGACAGAGAGAAAGCAGGAAAGGTTATAAAAGGCCAGAGGACACAGAGATCTGCATGCCATGCTAAAAAAATGCAGACTATGCTGAGATTATGAGGGCTCAAAGAAGCATTTTCATAACAGGGGAGAAACATGTTTTTGAAACCATTCTAGGCAACAATGTGACAGACAAATATGAAAGAGATGAGTTTAGTGTCATGAAAATCTGAGGGGTCACTAAATGATTCTAGGTGAAAAATGGTAAGGATCTAAGCCAAAGTAGAAGCAGCAATGATGAAAAGCAGATGCTCCGTAGAGCGGTGGCTGGATGGGGTCAGGAACACTTCCTGTGTGTTCTGCTGTGCAACCAGATTGATGGTACAATTCACACTTAAGTGGGAAAGAAGGAAGTGCGTGTGAGTAAGAAGAGAGTAAGCAATTCGATTTTGAACATGGTGAACTCGAGAAATGTGTGGGACGTCCAACATGAGTACTGAATATGGGGATCTGAAGTTCAGGTGAGAGATCTGAGCTGGAGGCTGAATTCAGGGAGTTTTTTCCATGTAGGTGGTGGTCGAAGCCACAGGAATAAATGCCATTACCCAGAGGAAACTTTTCTGAACTAAAAGAAAAGAGGGCTAAGAATAAAACCACAAGAAAAATCCCACTCTAAGGGGTGGACAATTGATCTGGAATAACCAACAGAGGGAAGCAAAAAGGCATGACTCTGAAACTATACAAAGAAGTAAGGTATGGAGGTCCATAACCAAAGTAGAAAAAAATCAAAGCAGGATGACAATGGGTTCACATAAAGGTAGCATCCACCAAATTCAAGTAAAAAACGTGGACACTGGTGTTCTTTGTCAAAAGGAATTCCAGAGTGCTAGGTGAACAGGAAGTAAGATCACAGAGAAATCTAGCATAAATCTTTCTTTGCACGAGTTCAGTTTCAAAAAAAAAGATAGAGAAGGAACTAGAGAACGTCCACACGGGTGAGAAACTTAGTGGCAATGGTCATCTCAGGGCATCATTTCTGAGTATAAACTGTATGGTCATGACCAATCTCCAGACCCATTAGGCTCTTCTGGGCCATCCTCTTGACAACCTAATTTTTAAAAAATTTAATATGCAGAGTCTCTAACTAAACTGGAAATTTCCAATTTTAGATGATTTACTGAGCCTGAAATATAGCCATAAAAAGTCACACATATTATCTCACTGTCTTAAAAATATACATACCGGAAAAGAGAACTGAAAAGTAGCCATTTGGTGGCACTGCTACCCTAGATTTTTTGCTTTGGTTGCTGCTACAGTACATTTCTATTCCAAAGGGAGAAAAAATGCTGATTTTCAAATTTCCTTCATAGTATAATTTGTCATTAGGAATACATGGTCAGAGAGCATATTTCTAAGCTAACGGGAGGGGAATGGAAAATAAACTAAAAGGGAGGCTGAGTGCACACTGCTGTCTGATACTCCCCTCCCTGGCTCCCCCCTGTCCCTCTCACTCACCTCCAAGTGCACTCCCCAGAGTCTATATCCTCCCAGGGTATCAACAACCTTGCAACAACCTTTGCAACAACCTTGCAAAACCACTGTACCAGTGGTTTTCAGATCTACTTTTCCAGCCCCAATTCCTAATACCATCTCGTATTCCTATGACTTAACCTCAGATGCAAAAGTAAAGTCATCACTTTTACTCATTGTACTAGAGTTTCTATATTCACTAGGAAATGTTACATTTTGTAAAATTAGGGCTAAAATTATGTTCTGGCACAAATTAATAATTCCAAGTCCTTTTAGGAAGGGTTCCCAGCAGAGAACAGGCACACGGGTGTGAGAATAATATAGTGAAGTACCTGATCGATACTACCAGCTCCAGCATCAAATGGCAAAGAACAAATATTAATTAAAGTTCATTCATTCCATGCTCAGATATTAAATAAGAACTCACTATTTATATAAGGACTATCAAAGTGATAAACCTATTTTCTGAATGGACAGATAATGACAGGGTTCCACATGTAGATACATCAAATATGGATGGGCTATGATTTTGTATGAGGGTGGGGAGGAAATGAAAGTGAGAAATTGTTGATGAGAAAGTAATCTTCTCCCTGAGACATAAAAAAAGCTTGATATATCATTATTGTCCCTGGCTATCACACCTGTCCCTTTGACTCCACTTTTTATTTTGTTACTCAAAAGTAAACAATCTCATCATTTATAAATTGAAAATAGTTTTTAATCCATCCCTAGTTTAATATCCCAATTACCATTATCCTAGCAATATCACCCTTAAACTTTCCGAAGCTCTCAATCCCTTATCTTCCCCATCCCTAAAGCCTTCCTGTTCCCGACGATCTCCCCGCTGATTCATCACTCACATTGTTCGGCTTACATGCAGAAAAGCCTTGACTGGCTCTCCCTTTCCAAGAGATACACCTGAAATCCTTCATGTGGCCCATACAAGTCCCATCTCCTACTCCTCTCGTATACACTCTCCCACAAAGCCTAACTTAGGTCTCCCACTTCTGTTCCAAAACATCAACTTTCCTATTCCAAATACGATTTTCACCATCTGTTAAACAATCTCTAAATTTTGTTTTCTTTTTTTATTCAGTAGGCTCTTTCTTTCCTCTTTAGCTATTCCCAACATCTTTTCACTTTCAAACACTTCTTATTCACAGAGTGACATGTACTTCTTTGACCAGGCCTCCCCAGTAGGTGCAGATGTCAAGAGAACACTTCCGTAGCATAAGCCTCTTTGAACTCAGACACTGCTCTATCATACTGATGCTAACTAATGGGTTACTGTCCTGTGCCTACTTATTTTCCCTGTAACAATAGATTCTTTTCTCATAAACACACCAAAATCTTTTTGGAGAAAGAACATGCCTAGACAAAGTTTTAATGCACTTCCGCCAAAAATAAGAAGCATAGTGCCAAGAACCTCAGAGGTCCCCAAAATATACAAGGAAACAGATTGGCAGTCATCTTCCAATCTCCTCCCACCTGCACAGACTTTTTAAAAAATATACATCTCTTTGATAGTTTCTTCATTTATCTTCAGAGCTTTTAGCAAGTTATTTTTTCTTATTATAGTCAAAGAGAAACATAACATCTGGAAATATACACTGTAGAGAGCAGCCAAATAGATTGTTATTATAATAAATTTATAACATCAAAGAACACACTTTGAATTGTAACACTAGAGAATAGAAAAACGGTAACTGAAATAATACATATGGTTTTATAACTGTGAAAAATTCATAACTGTGGAAAACTCTAACAATGGGGAATTGTAACCCACCCCACCTTCTTTTGACACCGTTCCTGTAAATCAGGGCTGTCAAACTCCTTTTCACCAGGGGCCACATCAGCCTCGCAGTTGTCTTCAAAGGGCAGAATGTAATTTTAGGACTGGATAAATGTAACGATTCCTTAACAGTGAAGCGAGATCTTAGTGCTGCCACCAGGTAGCAATGAGGTGCCAGGCCGATAAAACAAGGTGGAGGGTGGGATTCGGCCCTCAGCTTTGCGTTTTCCGCCCGTGCTATAAATGCTGACTCTGATTAACATGTAGCTTGTAGATGGACAGCATGTTTGTATAACAATCCTAGGAACTAACTTCAAAAGATAAACTTTGACTTTCAAGTATCCCAGGTCCGGGAGATTTGCTGACCTGTAATCATGGAGTCAAGGTGACGAGAAGCTGGGATGGGTAAACCAGGATGATGCACCCCAGACCATCTCTTGCCTTATTGGAAAGGACTGTGCTAGTCTGCACAGAGAGAACTCTGCAACCCCCTCCCTTGATCTCCTTGTTCTGCTCCCCTCTCCCTCCTTATAAAAACCTCTGCTTCCACTGAGAGGGGAGATGGGCTTTGAGATGTAAGTTCCCATCTTCTAGATGGCTGGCATCTGAATAAACCACTGCCCTTAACGTTAGCACCAGCCTCTTGAGTACTGGCTTTCAAAGTGGCAGGCTGCTGGACCTGCGTTCAGTGACAGTTTAAGAAGATAATTAAATGCCACTACGTGAATATTTAAATATTGACAGAGAAAATACTTATGCCTATAAAATCTTATCCAATTAAAAATATAACTAAACTTCTAAATTTCAAAATAACTTCATGAAGATGAGTTAAGAAATTATGGGAAATATTCAGAGATATTCATTTAAGAAAATTACTTACCACCTTATCATCTCCAGGTGCTTCTGTGTTTGATATAATTAAATTTTGCTGTGCCAAATCTTCTGGAAAACCTTTTTTTCTGGCACCAACAATTCCACATACTAAAGTTAGCAATACAGCTGAGTTTGGAAAAAAGTGGATACACAAAGTTTAACATACATAGAATAAAATACCGATCTTTTGTATCTTATCACCTAAAGTGCACAGAAGGCAAATAAAGCCAAGCATGGTGTCCCATGAATCATTTTGACCTTTCTAAATTAACAGACTATGATTTAGCTTATAGTTTAAAATTTGGCATGATCGTAACTATATTTTGATGATTGTCCCTTTAAGAGTTTGAGTTCTACCCAGCATACTAAAAGATTTAGAATCATGAATTAAGTAGGACATTTTTTAAAAATCACTGACATCTATTTAAGACAAAGACTTTAAAGAGATTCATTGATTCACGAAAAAATGGTTTGCCTACAAGAAAGAATGACAAAACGTGTTTCCCAGAATACATTCTTCTCCAAGTATCTTAGTTAACCCTATTCTATATTTTTTTCTATTCAGAATTTTCTTTCTACATGATACTTATGGGAGGTTAAAATCTGTGATAATAAAACTAATAGTAATAACATTTTTATAATATTCTACAAGCTGTTATGCCAGAAACTCCCAAACCACAGCCCCAAATCCAGCCTCCATGTGTTTTTGTAAGGCCCATGGGTATGGTTTTTGTATCTTTAAGTGGTTGAAAAAACTTGGAAATAAGAGTTTACTCTATGTGAAAATTATATAAAATTTCAATTTTAGTGTCTACAAAGTTCTACTGGAACACGGCCACACCCATCATTTAAATATTATCTTTGCGGCTTTCTTGCATTCAGGGCAGATATGATTGGCTTTATGTGAAACCACGTGGCCTGCAAAGTTTAAATAAATACTCTCTAGCCCTAGAAAAAGTGTACCAACCCCTGCCTGCTCTGCGTGGCCCCTTGTGACCTTCCCCCACCGTTTTTCACCCTGTTCCCCTCTTTTACTGCTCTCTACCTAGACTGGTCTTCCTGCCGCTCCTTCGTTTCCTCAAGCATACTTTCACTTTAGCCCGTTGAAACCGACTTTCCCTCCTGTCTGAAAGCTCCTTCCTCAGGTACTCTGCTGGACTGACTCACCTTTTCCAAAAATCATCGGTGATAACTTTCACTTAGGCCTGATCTAACCATTTACTAAAATTTCTCATACTCATCCCATACACATTCTACAAGACGACACATTCTAATTATTTTGTTCCATTTTTTCCTCCACAGCATTTACTCTGTCAGTTTACTATCTCAAGACAGACCGTTTGTTTTTATTTTTGTCCATTTTGTTTTGGATGAATCCTACGCATCTAAGACACAACTTTGGCATATCATAGATGTTCAATACATATTTATTTTGTTGAGCTGATAAAAATAATGAACACTTACTAGAAATACACCATATAATATTGTAAGCTTTTCACACGCATTGACTAATCATCAGTGCTACTCCATAGAGTAGGCTACTATAAGTATCCCCTTTTACAGATGAGGAAACTGGAGCACAGTTAAATTAACTTTCCCCAGGTCACATGGCTTGCAAGTGATAAACTGGGAACAAACCCGGACAGTCTGATTCCAGAGTCTTGCTCTTACTCACTACCCCTATCACAGAACAAAGGAACAACAGCTAATCTAAGCTGGAGGAATGGGTGGGAATAAAAAGAGAGGAAAAGATATGGTACCATTGGGAACTAGACAACTGATGAAGAAGAGATTAACAAAATTCAAAATTAGCAAGATAATATGGAAGAAGATATATTGCTGAACTCCTTCCACAAATCTGTGGCTGAATAGTGAGAAGGCATGAAACAAAAATGGCTTTTAGTGAACTTTCCTAGAGCAGAAGTTTTATGACCAAAAAGTACTATGACCAAAAAGTAAAAGTTTTTCACTGACAAATTTAGGACAGTCTAAGAAACTGTCAACAGTTCTGTCCAAATGTTAAACCTTTTATCTCAAAAAGGATCTTGCTCCCCTTACAGAAAATAGTCAATCAGGGCTCAGATACAAATAATACAAAAGGAATTAGTAAAGGGGACTCGCGCCTGATAGATGGTTGGACAAGATTACACTTTAAAGGCCTTTTCCTGCACTCAGATATTTATTATATATTTTAACCTTAAGTAAGTAAAAGGACTTACAGAAAAGTAACGCTATACCCAGCAGTATGGCCAGGATCGCCCATTTTCCAAGTGATACCCCTGTGGTTCTCACAGTCCTTGCGCACTGACTTGGATGAGTACAAGCACACAGGTCAACTGTCAAGGTTTTTGTTGCAGATTGACCTTCTCTGTCTCTTACAGTGATGGGAATATAATATACATCAACAGCAGCATTTTTGTTATATGAAAGACGGGCAGCTGTATCTGAAACAAAATAGAAGAATTATATATATATATATTTTTTTCCATTGAGGCATTTTATTTGCATATATGTATTACATCCCTAGAAAAAGAATCCCAGGATTTTCCCTCCTGTGTGTTTTCGTCTTGCTTCTTCATGGTCCATGATGCCCGCTGAGGTTGTCAGTACAATGAAACCAAACTGACGGGACGGAAGCAGGTTGTTCTGCCATTTTTCTAGATCTTTGAGTTGCACATCAAATCTGGGGCTGATTACTCCACACTTGTTCAACCTGCCGGTAAGGTTTACAGCAATTTTCCCAGCTCTGTGGTCATCAATAATTTCAAATTTGCCAATGTAGCCATGCTTCATCATCACAGTTAAAAACCGGATGATGACTTTGGAGCACGGTCTGATAAGAACCTGGCGTTTGCCTCTCTTTTCAGCATTGTTGATACTCTTGAGAGCGTCAGCCAGGACATTCATGCACACCATCATGGCAGCACGGAAAGAAGAATTATATTTTTAATGAACATGTATTCCCCCCTTAGCCTTTGTTTCACTACACCTGATTGTAAAGATCTTATTCCCAAAGAACCACCTGCCACATGAAAATGAACAAAAAGTACATGACTATCTTGAACTTTTTCAAGCACTAACATTACTGTAACTTTTCAGAGAGGAACTTAAAGAAACAATTTGACATTGGAGTGACCTAGTAACATTTCAACATTTAACATTCCCTCACTTTCCCCTTATTACAAACTAAGAATGATAAACTGACTTTAAACATACACTTCACACATTTTTCTGTAGTACCAGTTTGTGATACTCCTAAAGAATTCACACTTATAAACCAAGGATGCTTTAAGTTCACATTCTCTTATCCATTTACCTTCTGGTACCTGTCCATTATCCTATCAATAAGAAAATTTTCCAAAACACAAAAGACCTTTCATGATTAATGCCTTGCCTCTGGAAGTAATCTCAATACCAGGAAGCTAATTAATATCTCCCAGGTTAGGTATAAGGCTTACAAAAAAACACAACTATGTCTGTACCACAACAATACATATTTATGAACTGTGAGATTTCCCTCAACAGTCTTGGTACCTTATTTTAATGACCTTATTATCAACGGACCAAAAGCTCTACACACTTTCAATGACAATTCCAACCTTCTGGACTTTTTGTAATGCACTAACTGGAATGACAAAGTAGCATAAGCACATCTGGGAGTCACGTGTAATTTCTAAGCTGTGCATTTATGCACTGTTATAATTGTGAGAACTTCAAAGATTTTTGGCTGCACCTCATATCTGAATCTTTCTGGAGGAATGCGAATTACTGCTTGGGTTTGTTTGTACCCTTCGGAACATACTGTGTCGAAGGCAAGCTCCTTTAATACCTCCGCTCCCTCAAGGCCACAAACTAAGCCATAGTCATGTCTCGTTTATTCACAGGAATGCCTCAACCTGATTTTCTTTGCGACTCAAGTTTGTCCTCTTCAAACTGTCCTCCTAACTACAACCAATGCCATTTTTAAGACATCAACCTGCATACAGTATTGCCTTACTTGTACACTCCCAGTGCATACTTTGGTCACCCACTGTACAAAGGCCGTTCTCCTTGGCCTGGTATGTAAGGCCCATCGGCACCAGATTCCTTCTCTCCTTCCACCCGCTCTCACGGCATTGCGACTAACATGCTCTGAACTCTGAAAACACTGGTTTCCTTATAACCTAAGTATTTTTCTTCTTTTATGCATATATACTAATGAATTATTGATTCGACAAACCTTTATTAAGTAGTTAGTATCTACTAAGCACTGGGCTAGGTATTGGCAATACAAAAAAAGATTACAAATGTCTTGAGAAACTCACATATATATCGGAGGAATAATGTAAACACATGATAATACAACATGAAAAGAAGGTAGCAAAAAATCACAGTGTCATTCCTATTTCAAGAAAGTCTTCTTAGACATGAGTATCTGTGCTGGAGTCATGTCTGTCTTGTTAATCTCTCTATATATAATATATATGTATATTATACACATATTTAATCCCAGGTCTGCAACACTGCCTCATAGATAGTAAGTACTCCATAAACATTATGAATACCAAGCTAAGAAATGAAAAGGGAGGTATTCTAGGTAGAAGAAACAGCATACGAAAAGTGCAACTGCAGGAAAGAGCATGTCTCGTAACAAACAAGCCGTGAACCACAACTGAAATACGGACTACTGCACTCCCCAGAAACCACTACCACAGACACTACCCTGAAGGCTCCAGTGCCAGATCTCTGTCCAGATTCCACACATTTCCTTCCAAAATGCCACAGAGAGCTTGTCCCATACCCCCAGATTCCTCGGTTCTGCAGCTGGCTTACAATCAAGTTTAAGCTGCCTATCTTTCATTCTCTCTTTATCTCACTGGGCTTACTTTAAACACAGCAAAAACAGTTTCACAATAAGTTGCCCAATATTTTAACAAAGCATTTTTGTCTTTTCCGTAAAAGTTAATTTTGCCAACATAAAAATTATAATTCCTTTCATTTTATGTGTAAAACATAACATAAGCCTCAATAATATTTGTAAAAGTTTGTTAGGCTTCTGAAGTATGTTAATGAGACTCAACTTTACATGCTTCATGTAAACAGACAAGTAAACCTATGATCAATTATTTTAGAGCATATACATCATTCTTTTTTATTGAGTACCATTAACTGTGGAGAGGGTCCACATTCTGCTGGTTTCTGAAGAAGGGTTTTCCAAGCTGAACTTAAATGGAGGACCATGGATAGAATCATCAGGATCAAAAGCTGAAATGTCAGTATACTCCATCTTTGGTTTGCAAATTACTACATGATTTTGAAGTATTTTTGGTGCATTATCATTCACATCTTCAATGTTAACTACAAGTGTTCCAGTACACGATCTACCATCTAGGAGAAAGAAAAAAAGTTTGGGTAGTTTGTAAAGCTTTTTATAGTTTCTAAAGAAAAAAAAATCACATAGATTCCAAATATGATACATGGCTTTTCTACATAAACACTTGATTATAGAAGAAATGGTAAATAAAAACACAGATGGATAGAGGAAACCTGCAGATCATCTAAAATGAGTACTGTTGTTGACAATATCAGATACGGATGCAATAAACTTTTTACCAAAGTAATTGCCAAACAGGAGAAATATATGTCTGAACTCCAAAGTCTATTTCTTTGGGTTCCTTCTGGTACAGATGTTAATGAGCATGAACATGACTACAGAAAAATTATTCTAATCCCAGTACACATCCAAACAACCTAGGGACATTTACTTTAAATATATAATGCCCAGCCCTGATTGGTGTGGGTCAATTGGTTGGTCATCGTCCCACCAACCAAAAGGTTACAGGTTTGATTCCCAGTCAGGGAACATGCATGGGTTATGAGCCACAACCTCTTTTGGGGGATGGGTGAGAGGCAGCTGATGGATGTTTTTCTTGCACTTCATAGTTTCTCTCCTTCTCTTTCTCCCTCCCTTCCCAGGGTTCAGAAGTTCTGGGTTACTTTAAGGAACAGAATTCAAGAAAAGAATCATTTTGACCCAATAGTCAGCAGAGTTATTTAAAGGTTTAATTTAAAGTGACATAAAGAGTCTGGTGAGACCACTTCCTTAGTCCTGGATCTCAGTTTCACCTTTGTCCTCTAATATAGAGTCTATAAGCATTTTTAAGGTCCGCCACACTGGGAATATAAAGATGAATAAGACATGGCTTCTTGTTTCTGAGTAGTTTCACATTGTTAGATGATTAAGAGAAATAGGAACAGAGTTCTTAAAGCAATTTCTAAGAATCCCATATACATCCCATATGTATATATCCCATTATTTCTGTGATATCACAGAAATAATTCTGTACAAGAATAGTTGCATTATTCTCCAATTCCTTTAGGAAATACTAGACTAAAACTTTTTTGTTTACCTGGGTCTATTGCCATGACCGTGACATTATAATCCCTTCTGGGAGTTATGGCCTCCCTGTCCAGAACTTTGGAAGTTCTGATTGACCCTGAGTTTTCATCAATGGTGATCCATTCTTCAGGGTCGTGCAATTTTTTGTACCTGTTAATAAAAAATAAAAATAACCTTCAGCAACATAAAATGTATTAAAGTCACAGCCACAATTGTTTCAGATACATTATCAGTATCTGGTTAGTGATTTCTTTGTACCTGAAACCAGTGCTACGTTTAGTTTCAGGGTCATATGCCTTATAGCCGCTGGTGCTGGTCCCCTTTGCTGAATTCTCTCTGATCCGTACGCGTTGGACTGCTGGGCTGCACTCAGGCCCTTCGTCCTGGTCCTTCACTTGAACTGTGACCAAAGCTCTGTTCATGGTTGCCCTGAGTGGAACATCTCTAGTAAAAGGAGATTCATTGCTTACTCCAATTTCCAGGACCACTTGAGGGATTTCTTCATAATTCAGTGGCTTTAAAAAGAAATGCATGTATTTCAGTGCAAGTGTAAAACACATCTGATATTTCAAATAGCATGCGAACTCTCGTCGATATGACCAGTGCTGCACACACTCCCGGTTCCCATTTAGTCAGCAGTGACCTTTAGCCTTGGCCAAAGAGCCAGGTGATTATTCCCTAAGCCTTTAGCCAGAGTAGTCCAAACGTTTCTGCGGGTGGTTTACAGAGTTACAAAAAAGCAATTCTTAGGCTTAGGCAGATACTTTTAGGCTTCGTTCTTACTGAGAAAAATTATTCTGAACCTGGAGACAATGCAGAATGATGACAGCGCTCCGTGGTGCGGCCTTAGTGCACTGACGAACCAGCTGAAGGTCACCTGACTCTAGGAGAACGAGACTTTGTCCTGACTATTTACTACTGACTAAGGCTCAGATATTTTACCTCTTGTACAATTAGATGTCAACATAAATGAAATAGGAAATGTTAAACAATTTTATTTTCTTTCAGAGAGAAAATATACTCCTAATGCATGTTCTAATAGCCCTATCAGGCATAAAAGTCAGCAATCTGTTTTGAGGTAACTCCATACTGCTCTCCACAGTGGCTGCACCACTCTGCATTCTCACCAACAGTGCACAAGGGTTCCTTTTTCTGCACATCCTCATCAACACTCATTGTTTGTTGATTTATGATGACAGCCATTATGACACGTGTGAAATGATATCTCGTTGTGGTTCAATTTGCATTTCTCTGGTTATTAGTGACTTGAACACCTTTTCGTATGTCTATAAGCCATCTGTATGTCCTCTTTGGAGAAGTGTCTATTCAGGTCCTTTGCCCATTTTTAATTGGTTGGTTTGTTGGTTTTTGAAACACTAATTTGAAAGAATATAGCACCCCTATGTTCATTGCAGCACTATTTACAATAACCAAGATTTGGAAGCAGCCCAAGTGTTAGCTATGGTACATTTATACAACGGAACACTACTTGGCCATAAAAAAGAAGAAAATTTTACCCTTTACGACAGCATGGATAGATGGAGAACATTGTGCTAAGTCAAAGAAGCCAGTCATAGAAAAACAAACACCATATGATTTACTCGTATGTGAAATCTAAGAAACAAACTGAACAAGCAAAACAGAGTCAGATTCATAGAGAACGGAATGACAGGTTGGTGGGTGGAGAAATCAAGAGAAAAAAGAGAAAGAACTCAGGGACACAGACAACAGTGAGGTGACTGCGGTGGGGTGGGAGTGGGAGGAGGTGAAAGAGAGTAAAAAGGGGAGAAATGGTAATGGAAAAAATGCAATAGAAAAGCAAACTATTAAAACAAACAGAGGAATTTTATCTTAGCTTTTTCATTTATCAAAATCCATTCATGTTCTCAGTTCTTCTTAGGAATCCGCTTTGTCTTTTTGCTGGATCCTTCATTAATGAGTTAAGCAGAACTTTTACCCATGCTCACTATCTATTTTTATGAAAATTATGTTTTGAAAACTTGAGAATTGTACTTTGGTAGTACCTGCAGTTTATCAGAAGAAACTCTCCCAGTGAAAACAGAGTTGAGTAAGAGAAATATGATATGCTTGATGGTGCTAACATTATCATCATCCCTATTTTTCAGAGAAAGAAAGTGGAGAAGAGGAGATACACTGACTTCCCACTGCTAAAAGCTTCCTCTCTATGCTTGGGTTTGCCACTGGGTAGTCTGGTTTGAATTCATTTCCTTAACCACCACACTACAATCCCTCTGCTATTCTACTCTGTTTAAGTGGTCTACTAGCCTCTAAAAATTTCCAAATCAATCACTTGATTATAAGTGATTTTCAGACAGTAAATCAAGCAGAACCTGTAAAACACTGTTTTGCACTGGACTGAAAGATTGAAGCACTTTGATTCTTTCTGCCTATCAAAATGATCACTGGCTGAGCATGGAACAAAATCAAAACTGATAAGTAAAATCTTTGTTTTCATCCTTTCCCCGCACTGTGGTATTATCAGGCTGAGGTACTGATGAGAAGATTTCTGTATCTTAGAATCCACAAAAGGCATGTGAATTGCTTTGTGATTTTTTATGACTATCCCAGAAATGAAAAGTCAAAAGGAAAAACAAATTGCTATGTATCTCTTGCTAATGAACACAAATTCCATGTGTTGGGACAGTCATGCAGTAAGTCAGAGTGTCTGCTGACAAGGAGAGACACAGGAAGTTCAGGAAGCGGCTGTCACACCGAAGGACGTGCGGCTAATGGGTCCAGAGCCAAATGCCAAATAAAACCTTAGAATTTTTAATGTAATTTCTCAAAGCTCAGGCTGGATAGTGGCTTTAAACTCTGCAAGATTAGAAATCTGCTGGCGTGAAATCAATGATTAATTTTTTAAAAGATTTTATTTACTTACTTTTAGAGAGTGGGGAAAGGGGGAAGGGGAGAAAGAGAGAGAGAGAAACATCAATATGTGGTTGCCTCTTGCACACCCCATCCTAGGGGCCTGGCCCGCAACCCAGGCATGTACCATGACTGGGAATCAAACTGGCAACCCTTTGGTTCTCAGCCTGCACTCAATCCACAAAGCTACACCAGCCAGGGCTCAATGATTAATTTTAAGAAAACATGAATTCTCTTCCAATTTGGAGTGACTTTTTGTTTCATCAATCAAAATACAGTGTTCAAAAATATCTGATAGCTGCACTGAGATGGTAACAATCCCTTAGAAAACTACGTGTTGGATTGTTGTGGAGCTGCAGACCTATGTTGAGAAAGAGCAAGAACAACAGCTTCCTCACTCAGCCCATATGCACTGCCGCTGCCGGTGCTGCTGAAACAGAAACAAACAAGCCAACCAACCCTGGGGAAGAAAACTTATGCAGGACTCAGCTAAAGACTGTATCAACTCAGGCTCTATGGTCCCAGAAAAGTTATCTTTTTTTTTAAAGAAGAAAGGTATCTTCATTGGAAATTATAAATAGTAGTACCACGAACATGTTAATACTTTAAAAAATATAATAATATCCTATAGTTTATCAAATGCTTTCCTTTTCATTATTATGTTGAATGGCTGCTGGGGAGGCAGAGAAAAGTATAATTTTTTACAGATAAAACAAAGGCTAACTTATATCATGCAAGGAATAGTTGAAGAGTGCTGGGAATATTTATTCTAGAGAAGGTTAAGTCTCAAGGGGACATAACAGCCTTTTCAAAAGAACTGTACCTGTTCTGTACAGCATCTGCAATAAAACATGGATGAAAGACATAGAATATAAGGAGAATAATTTAGGCACAGCAGAACTTCTGAAAATCAGAGCTCTCTAAATATAGAATAAGTTGCCAATCAAAATATGGAGGTTCCTATAACTGAGAATGTTCAAGCATAAGTTAGGTGGCTAAGAACTGGCAAATCAATTATAGAAGAAAGGCAGGCATTGGGTGGAACAGTAGGCCTAAGGAGACTATGTTCTTCTCTAACTTATAGAGACTAGGAAATGAAACTATTTAGTTGATTAACCATTAACTTATTAAAATGTGTTAATTTTCCAAGTTGTCAATGATTCATTATAACTGTACCTTTACAATACACAGAATGCCTTCATTAGTTTTTTCATCTGTACTGATTTTGAAATGTCCATTTTCATTGCCCTTTAAAATGGTAAAGTTGGCTCTCCAATTGGCACTCCTAATTAAATCCTTGTCTTGTACAGGTATTCGTAAGATTTCCACATTGTATGTATTTTCCTCTACCGATACTGTATACTGGAACAGAAAGAACTCATTAAAAACTTACTTTATAATGAACACTTTTACAAAGAAAGCAAAATGTTTCTTCTACTCCAAAGTTACTTGTTCTTAGAGTTTCCAGCTAGATTATTTTAATCCATGAATCTCAAATAGTATTGTTTCATGAAGACATCATTTAAATGAAAGAAGAATTTCATTACAAATGAAGACTGTTACTGGCCTTCAACAAGCGGTCAGAAATTAAATACTATTATCAACAAATAAAACAGATTTGTATGTTTACTACTTAATTTTATTCAAAATATATATACTTCAAAGTATGATATTTATTAATTCAGGTTAATCAACAAAAGACAATAAACAGAGGTAGATTTTGGAATTATATACTTACAACATTTTGCAAGAAATTAGGTGCATTGTCATTTGAATCTGTTACTGTTATAAGACAAGTTGATGTAGTCATCAATCCAAAAAATTGACCATCCATGTCTTGTACTTTAAGTATCAATTTGTACTTGTCTACAACCTTAAAACAAAGCAAATATTTAATTAGCTTTGAACAACTTTGTTTATATCTGTAAATGAAACTTTAATTGCGCACTCTTCTATTGGTGTGTATCCAAGCTTTCATATTTGCATGTACTCTAAGGATTTGGTAGACAGGGTTAAAGCTGAAAAGGTAGGCAGGGATTACAGTATAAGGACCATACTAAGAATCTGCACTATGCTTTAAATGGCAGATAATAGGAAAAGATTTTCCTGAAGTCATAGGGGGAATACAAAACAAAAAAATTTGAGTTTCACAAAGAATATCCTTAAAGAAGGTTGAGCAGAATTTGGAGTAAGCTGAGCTAGAAGTCAAAGAAACCAGTTAAAGAACTCCTAAAATAGTCTAACACAGGTGGGTCCGAATCCAAGTCGGTATCAATGAGGACAGAGAACAATGGTGACAAGCAAGTTTCAGTGGGAGTCAGAATTCCATATACAAGCAAATAGAGAAAGAGGGGTTGAGAATGATGCTCAGGTGTCCTACTTAGATACGCAGGCAAACAGGGGTATCACCAAGCAATACAGGAAATTCAAGAGCGTTCTCTGAGGGAAGTGAACACTAGCAAGTTGACAAGGAGGAACAAAAACAATTAGTTATGTTTGGTATATATTGAATTGTACCTGCCTATGGAAAATCTAAGGAGAAAGGTCCAGAAGCCACCTTGGCATATGGTCCATAATTATGGAAGGGATCATAGCCAGAAATACCAATCTGGGAATCACCAGTATGTATTAATAGATGGTGGCCGAAATTGGGGCAGGAATCTGATATCTAGAAGTTAAAGGATAAGAAAAGCTGAGGATATAAGATAACAGCATTTCAACAGCTGAGGACGTGAAGGGGAAATAAGAAAACTAAGCAAAGGACACCAACAACAAAAGATCAAAACAGCAGGAGGAAAACAAGAAATCCAAGAAACAAGAGAGTTTCTGTAATTGACTGACCATAGACAGGGATTTAACGTAACTTGATTTGGCAAATAGGAAATCGCTGTTGACTTGTGGGAAAGGAGTTTTCCAGGCAGTGTGTTGATGATGAAAAGGAATCATTAGTTGGCGACAGTTTTGTTGCCTTTCTCTCCTCTCTTACTGTTCCTTAGCCGCTCCTTATGTTGTATAATTTTTTCTCCATTTTCTACTTCCCTCTATCCCATCCACAGGCTTCATTTTACCTATCTCCCTTCTGCATTGGAAGCAACATTCCCACCCCAAAATGCTCCACCCAGAGGTTTTTTTGTGCATGTGAAATTGATCAATCTGCCTCAGTAAACAATACATGACTCACTGTTAAATTAGGCTAACAAAATCAAGTTAATCAATCTTTCTAATTATCATGTTTCTCCTTACACATTGGCTATAACACCTATCTAGTCAAACAAAAATATTTTAAAAATCAAATAAAATTATGCATAAAAAATCTGAATATAAAACACTATATATAACATATATATAGCATATGATATAATAGCATATATGCCATTCTATCATATATGCTATTACTATCAACCAAATAGTGTTACAGATTTATAATAATTCATAAACCTTACCTCAATAATCATTTCCAGATAAAAAGCACATATCTATAATAACTGGATAGAGATCAAGGTATGATTTATACTCATGGAAAAACAACAAATTATCCTTTATGAGAATGAAATCTTTTACTAAGCTAGAACCAACTAGACACAGTAAGAAAATAAATTATATTGAATAATAATAACTTTCATGAGAAATATCTTTTGTTCCCACACCTAAATACCAACTAATCTGTATTTCTAGTTATTGAGGCTTCTCGTACACACAAAACAAATAGAAGTAATATAAAAACCAGGTAACATGACCAGGAATTCTATGCCTAAATAAAATTAAATGGAGAGCAAAGTACAACAAGGGGGAAAAGGGAGCTTCAACCCCCAGTAAAAAGATACTCCACAGCGTGTGAAAGCTACCTCTCTGTCCAGATACTGAGACACCATGGTGATTGCGCCCGAGGTGGGGTGCATGGAAAACTGCCCAGGCGATCTTGGTGTCTGCTCCAAAATGCTGTACTTCAAGCGCGTATGCATGGTGTCTGGTTCATCTCTGTCCGTGGCACAAACCACCCCCACTGTGGTACCTACATGTTTTGAAAAAGAATGTGTTAAATTTTCCAAAGTTGTTAAACGTGTTTAGGAGTATCTCCACCTTTTATATATTTAAAATGTAGTATTTACCAGAGGCATTCCATCTTGACATAATACTAGGGAAGATGACTTCACATTTAAAATACAAAACACTTTGATGCTGAGAATTAAAGTGTACTTTTACTTCACTTGCAGCTCAAAATGTTTAATAGTAAATTGCTAAAAACTTACTTAACAGACATTCATAGATATTTGCAATACATATTTCCACATATTGCAATCACAAACCTAGTTGAAGAGATAGACCATGGCTCCTGAGTAAATCAGATTTCTTAAATTAAACTTTTGATTAATAATTAAATTAAGAGTGATTTAAGATGTATTTGCCTGGATGGTCAAGTTGAAATTTCACAACCCAGTCCCTTTTCCAGCATGTTTTTGGTTTTCGGTAGTCTGTTTGCCTCACTCTTTCCCACCTCCGCCCTCAGGACCACTTAATCCTCAGGAAGGGATTTTATTATATTTACCATTTAAGGAGAATTTGTCACCTGTATAGAATGTAAGAATATTGTCCACATAAAGGATTTCAGGTATCAAAAAATATATACAGGTGGCGTATTTATAGTGTAAGCATAATGTTCTGATGCAAATGAAAATGTAACAAGTAGATCCATTTTGCCTATAATGCTGTATGGAAGGCCCACCTGAGTAATAACACATACATACGTACAACCATACACGTAAAACTGTATTTGGAGGAAGAAATCCAAGCAAATCTTTTAACACAAGGATACATCAGCTTAAAATCATTTTGTTACTATAAAACATCCTCAAGTTTATATATGTGTGTTCATTGTGTATATATGTGTCACTAGCCATATATAGTATATTTCTAAGTTATATGTACATTTTATATATTTATTTACATTTTATATAGTAGGGAATGTCCAATTACATGCTTATAACAAATGACAAGATTTCTGCAGTGGATCAATAATCCATCTGCAGTGGATCAATGAAGTAATAATTTTTTTACCATAAGCAAATAAATGTTATTTATCTGTCTTCTCATAAAAAAGTTTATGACCTTTGTAAGGCATCACATTCTCTCCCTACAATGTTATTGACAGTCAGGAAGACAGAAACACTATTTTAATTCTCCGCATAGAGAATAGCTTTATTTACCATACAAAATCTTCCTAAAATCTTGAAAATTCCTTTTCATGGGTATCATATGTCAATATCAATTGAGCACCCTTTGTCCAAACCATCCGTACCTGGCTTAAGGCAAACTTAGGAGCATCTATTAGTTCAGAGTAGCACAGCTTTACTTGGTCTGAACCTACTAGTGTGAGACACTCAAAATACCCAGGGCTAATCTGGGCATCAAGGTGTTTGCCTTTGATTCTTCTGTTACTTCCCACAAGAACAAAATCTTCAACAAAGAGTTTGAAAAGTCACAGACTTGTGAAGCTAAAAATATGATAGGTCAGTTAATAAATTAAGTATAATTAACTCAATTTACAGGTCAAAGAATTCAAAGGGACTTCCATGAATTCCCACAGTGAGTTAATAACAGATTCCGAATCAAAAACTAGATTTCTTAAACTCCAAACCAATGATTTTTATTTGTGTAATTGTACAATGTGATTAATAAAGAGGTCAACATCTACGACATCAATTATCAAAGTAAAAAATAAAGGGAAATGCAAGCATAATAATGTGGTGAAGATCTAGGTAACTAGCAGAGGCTTTAAAGGGCAAGTTATCAAAGTCATCCTTTATGACTGAGTCCACATTCTTTCAGCTTTATTGTGAATGGCTATTCTCCATGTTACAAGCCTCAGAAGACATCATGAATGCCACATTAAAAAGCCAACTAAACTGAAACACTTTGGCTTTCCACATGTGAGAAGATTTTAGATGGAGAATATGTAAGTTCCTCTAAGGTTATAAGGTAGTAAGGAAGTAGCAATGAAGTAAAGTACTCAGTTTTAATAAAACAATAGAAATAGGAGCTTTAAAAAATTGTATCATTAGTGGATGTCATTTAACACCTCCCTAAATAAACCTAATAAAAAATCTATATTGATTTTAGTTCTATTGTACATCCTATTCTGCATGTCCTTTGCTTGGAGGTGAGAATATTGATAAATCCACGTAATGATAACATGAAATAAAGTATATAAACCATAAATAACAGCCATCTGCCTTTATAATTGTTATAATATTGACCACACCACAAACTACTATAATATCCTCTAAGTTACTCATTGTTTGTCTCCAATATCATTTCAGGATGATCAGCCTTGCATATGAAAAACTCAGTATCTCAAAAACATACCCAAATATATTTAACATAATATATTTTACTCTTAAAAATTGTCTTCCCATAAAGTCTAAAAGGAAGGACCATTCTAAGTCTAACATGGATTTAATCAAAAGGAAGACCTGCACTGCTCTACCATGAAAAATGAGCTTTGATAAAACTCCAAAGCAACAATACACTGAGAAAATATCTGCAGTGTGACAAGTTAATATCCTTAATATGTAAAGAACACTTGGAAGTAGCATTTAAAAACAGTTTAAAAAAAGATAAACAGCAGGGAAAATAAGAGCAGAGGAAATGTACATTTTATTTTAAAATATACAAATAAGCCAAAGAAAATATGCACAAAAAAATTTAAAATATCTTGTCTTACCAAGTTTGCTGCTTTCTGGAACTTCAAAATTATAAACTTGTTCCGTGAAAATAGGGTGGTTGTCATTCTCATCCTCCACTCTGATGGGCAGTGGAAGCGGTAGGTCTGCTGAATACCCATCTGCTGTTGTTGCGTAGGCAATCAACTGAAACACGGGACAAAGCAAGTTCAGTAGCCCATTGATATGAGAGTCTAGCAAGAAAGAATACTATGCTTTATCTACTACCTTCCCTACAAGTCTTTTCAATAGTAAACTGCTTAGCCTCTTCTCAGTGCTTTTTCATCATCAAAGCATCAAATGGAGAAACACTTCTAGTAAAGAGCACCCAGTATTTGGTAGACATGTCTACATTTCAAATAAAACTTCAGAGTACAGGGAAATCATGGATAACTCAGTAGATTAGACTGAGAAATTAAATGCAAACTAGGATTTGAGTTCTTATTCTCTCCATAATCAGAAAGTTGTACTGGAGAAAACAAACTCACTGCAATGGGGAAAATCCCTACTATATCATCTAAATAAAGCCGTGAATTCCAATCTTGAAACTATCAAGCCTTTTTATTGTTTTGCTGCATAGATCACATATTTTAAGAGTTTTTCAAACAAAATCCATGTGCCAATTTTTGCATTGCTAAGTAATTAAAGGTATTGTAATGCTGAAAAGTATATTTCCATTCAATATATGATTACAACCCTGAGCTAGTCATTTTTTTAAGCCAAAACCAAGAAATGTCATGGGGTGGACATCAGTCACATTTGTTCACTCAGATCTCTCTCTTCGTCTAGAAAGAAAACTCCTTTTTCTTAGGGGGAATCATAGTCCCTGCGCCACAGGACCGACCACATGACCTCACAGCATTTACCACGTTACACTAAAAATTGTCTGAGCTACTCCCTGTTGACTGAAAGTTTGTCCATGTCAGAACGCTGGCTTATTAACTCTTGTTTGGGTTTGTTCTCCCACTTTTGCTCCCTAATCAAGTTTTCAGACACGATGAGAGATCATACAAGTGGAAGGAAGACAAAAGAAGCAAAGCGGAAGAGGAAAGACTGTGGCACGTCCTGGAGAGAGGAGATTACACTCTGATCAGAGAGAGTGAGGACCTCTCATAAGCACAAACAACTCCTGGAAACTCGGAATTTATATTCGAATACAACTAATGCTCATTTCAAGCAACCACAGAAGTTAATATACCAAGCAGAAAGTGTTAAAAAATACTGCATAATCTATTTCCTTTAACTTTAAGATACCCGCCATGAAGAGGGCACAAGCAGACAGGAAAGAGCAGATAGAATGTCAGAAGAAACACAGTTTAATCACTCAAAGTCATGTATATCAACAAAACTCCTACATCAAAAACATCATATTCTTCACGATCCACAGGCTTAGTACAATACAGATTTCCAGTGTCCTTGTCTATGAAAAACAAATTTAAGGGTTCTTGGTCAACTCCGCGTCCACTTATTGAATAGAAGACGGTATAGTTTTGTGCTGCATCAGACTGAACCTGAAAGGAAAAAAATATATACATGTAAAAATTCAAATTAAATTCTGTTAAAATGCTGATTTTTAAAAATGCAGTTTCAGTGTTTATATTTTTATTTTAAAGAGATGATTTTAATAAAATAATCACATGTCATTTCATCCACACAAACATTTGGCAAAAGCTTTTTTCAGCTGCTCAAATTTATTTAAAACAGTAAGCCACCATCTAATTACAAAGAACAGACACAATGTATATTTAGTGATTTAGCAGTTAGAAAAGAGCGGTGACACCCAATGTTGGCAAGCGCGAGACAAACAGGGACTCTCACATATGGTAAAGGGAACGCTAATGGGAATGTTCCTTTGCAGGGGAACTGACAAAAACTGAAAGAATGAGTGATGAACAGGGAAGTAAGTCTCTTCTTGGAGGAGGAAACAGGAATTCCAAAGGGACCAGGGCAGGGCTGTGCTAGGAGTGTGCAAGGAGCAGCCAGAGGCCACTGTGGGTGAGAGAGCCGGGAGAAAGGAGCAGGAGGTGAACAGGAATGTGGTCGTAAGGGCCGCATCAGGTAAGCGATTCCAAGGATGTTGGCTTTTCCTCGGAGTCAGCTGAAGAGGTAACTCAGACAACAGTAATATTATCTGATTTATATTTTAAAAGGATGATGCCTTGATGTTTTGTAAAACGAGACTTGGATGTATAGGTAAGGGAAGAAATAGGAAGACCATTTAGAAAGTTACTGCAGTAATTGAGAGGAGGGTGGTAGTTTGTTAGACTAGTATAGTAGCAGCAGAGGGGGTGACAGGTGGTTAGATTCTGGTTAATAATGTGAAGGTATAGCCAATGAGATTTGCCAATGCGTTGGATGTATGGTGCAAAGACAGAAGCTGAGGCTGACTCTATCTCAGAGGATGCTAGTACCCCTCAATGTCTCCTCAGTAGATGAGTGCATAAAAAAGCTGTGGTACATTTATACAATAGGATATTACTTGGCTGTAAAATGAGAAGAAAATCTTTTTAAGTATATTTCATTACAGTACATTAAGTATATGCCATTACAGTTGTCCTATTTTTTATTCCCCTTACTCCCTTCCACCCTTCATCCCCTGCCACCAGCACTCTCCCCACTTAGTTCATGTCCATGGGTCGTACACAGAAGTTTTTTTGGCTTCTCCATTTCCTATAGTATTCTTAACCTCCCTCTGTCTATTTCGTACTTACCATTTATGCTTCTTATTCCCTGTACCTTTTCCCCCATTATCCCCCTCCACCCTCCCCACAGATAACCCTCCATGTGATCTCCATTTCTGTAATTGTTTCCATTCTAATTGTTTCCTTAGTTTGTTTTTGGTTTTGTTTTCTTAAGTTCAGTTGTTGATGGTTGTGAGTTTGTTTTCATTTTATTGTTTATAGTTTTAATCTTTTTCTCTTTTTTAGATAAATTTTTTTTAACATTTCATATAATAAGGTCCTGGTGCTGATGAACTCCCTTTTTACCTTCTCTGGGAAGCACTTTATCTGCCCTTCCACTTTAAATGAAAGCTTTGCTGGACAGAGTAATCTTGGATGTAGGTCCTTGCCTTTCATGACTTGGAATACTTCTTTCCATCCCCTTCTTGCCTGTAAGATCTCTTTTGAGAAATCAGCTGACAGTCTGATGGGAACTCCTTTGTAGGTAACACTCTTCTATTCCCTTTCTGCTTTTAGATTCTCTCCTTTTCTTTAATTTTTGGCAATTTAATTATGACATGTCTTGGTGTGCTACTAAAAGAAAATCTAAGCCTTCTGCAACAGCATGGATAGACCAGGAGAGTATTATGCTAAGTGAAATACACCAGTCAGAGAAAGACAAATGCCCTTCATTAGATCTCACTTATATGTGGAACCTAATGAACAAAATAAACTAACAAACAAAATAGAAACAGACTCATAGATACAGAAAACAGACTGGCTGCTGTCAGAGAGGAGGGGTAATTGAAGTCCGGGTAGAACAGGTGAAGGGATCAAACCAAAAAAAACCACCACAATCTCATAGACACAGGCAACAGTATGATGATTATCAGAGGGAAAGGGGCATCAGGGAAGGTAGAAAATGGTAAAGAGGGGATAAATGCTGATGGCAAGAGGCTTGACTTGGTTGGTGAACACACACTACAATATACTGATGATGTAGTTTAGAATTGTACACCTGAAACCCTTATAATTTTATTAAGCATTGTCACCCCAATGATTTAATAAAAGATAATTGTTCTCAAAAAATCTTTGTTGGTATTAAGATTTATGGCTCAACATGGGGTTTCCCTAAAGAAAGGCATTTCTCTGACTCCCTTGCAATTAAGCATGGCCATACAGAAAGGACAGGCCAATGGACTGTGAACAAAAATAATACACGCAAGATCCAAACTGTGCTCTAGAAGGTGGCAGAGTGTGTGCTTTCATTTGGACACAGCGATGAACCATCTCAAATGTGCAGGGATGGCCAAGCCAAAAAATAGAGAAGCCTGGGTCCTTAGTGTTCACTCAAATTAGACTCTCTTTACCAGATCATGTGTTTACATGAGAGGACTAAATCTCTGTTATGCTCAAGCCACTATAATTTGACATCCTGGCAAAATGCTGTTATACCAGTGTCCTACAATTATACAGTAATTCAATGAACTGAAAACAATAGCTGGCTATGTTAATTTGGGGCTCAATATGTATTTCATCCTTCTTCCACCAGGTTCTCTTATAGTGTAGTCATTAAAAGCCTCAACCAAAAACTTCCCATTTTCCAGAGTCTCTTGAATCCAGAAGTCTGGATTTAAATACAGACAACCAGGTGTGCTTGCATGCGATCTGGAATCCATGAGTTAGATGTCTCATTTGTACTATTTTTGCTGACATGGTTGTTTCTCCTCCCCCCCTTCTCCTCTGTCTCCTTCCTCTTTTTTTTTCTTTCTTGCAGCAGCAGAAGTTCCAGTAGTTTTTCAAATGCTTTGTGGATCCTGAGAGAGAGGGTATGAACTAACCTGTTTCCTGACTGGAGCAGTTAAAGTTGTTCTAGAGCTGCACTAGGAGAAGCAGCTTCCTGACTGTGGTGAGTTCTTGACCGTGGCAATGACACTTTGGTTCTAGAATTAGTGGCTTCACCATCGCGGAGAAAGCAGCATGTCCCCTGGTGGTGGCTTCTATGGTTCATTATTGAAAATTCAGCCTAAAATCTCTTTCTTTGGTCTCCCCAACTATTCTATAAACTGTTTAATACAGTGTAGTAAATCCCAATCTGCTAATTACTTAGTGAGACATATGTTCTCTACAACAAAAACCTATCTGACAGACTTTAATGCCCCTACAACAGAAAGGATGAAGCTGCTGTTAACTAAGATGGGAAAATGGTTTTAGGAAAAAATTCAAATACTTGATTTGCATATGTTAAGTTTGGAATGTCTGAGTATTTCCAAGTGGGAATATCGATTAGGCAGTTTGGGCTTGACATACAAAGGCTTAAGTCTCCAATGTATAAGTGGTACTTAAAGCTACAAGATTGGATGAAATCACCAAGAGAATGCATATAAATAAACATTAAAAAATTTAGTGACTGTGCTGGTAGAGGATGAAGGTGAGTAGGAAGGAGAGCAAGAAAGAACCAGCAAAAAACATATTATATGGAAGACAGGCAAATGGTGTCCTCGAAACCAAATGAAGACAGTATTTTCAGAAGACAAAGGTCAGCTATGTCAAATGTGCACACATATGTCAAAGAAATGAGGACTGAGAACTGGTGGCTGGCTTAGCAATGCTCCCATCAGTATCACTTTAGTAATCATAAATTATTTCTTAATATGCCTCACTAGGTTTAAATTAATCATCAAAAAGAAGAGATGAAGGTCTAGCACTAGATAGAATAAAAAGTAAGTGTGAGAGACCCTGGAAGGACAGTTAAAAATGTAAATAAATAGCATACAGGCCACAGCACTGATACAAAAAAACAGCAACCACAGTAATAGAAATGTAAATGGAAAAACCATAGCCTTACTTCAGTAATTGTTTTCATTCCATTAAGATCTCCATGAAAAGTAAACCTTGCCCTGCTTGAAAACTTCCCCTTGTGTTTAGGTAAAAGTTAGACTTCTCAACAGAATACACATTCCATTATGGTTTGACCCCCAACCTGCCCCGACCACCCCATCTCCCTGCTCCGCCGCTGCCATACCTGGGATTCCAGACTAGGCTGCCCTGAGCTCCTGAGGGGCTGTGCTCACCTCCACCACTGTACCTCCATCTTCTTCCACAACCAGTTACCTGCAAATACTTTCCCATCCGTCACCTAGCTCACATGTCCCCTGGTTTATGCCTTTTCTTGTTTTCTCCATTTCATCTCAGAACGTGATGCTTACCCCATGAATTCTCTCATCACCCCAGCCCATCTCTGACATTGCACTGGTCACTCAGTATTGAAATCATTGACCTACTTCTGTCTCCCTCACTGGGCTGAAAAACTACATGAGAGCAAGGGCCATGACTAAACCTATTTCTAGCTTCAGTACTTAGAGCAGGATCTTTCACAGGATATAGCAGGATATATATCATCACAGTACTTACTCTTAGTTCTTCTTATTCTTTATCCTCTTTGCAACAATCTATAAACAGGTCTTACTTGTTTTTATTCTGCTAAAACCTCATACTCTCAGGATAACCAGAGCAAGAAAATGCATGTTCTTTACTGCCTTAACATTCTATCTGCTCTGTATCCTGTGTTCAATAAATGAATGAAAAAAGTGAAAGCTGCTAAATGAATGAATAAACTAACAAAGATCATTTAATGGCTACAGAGTCCTTCTCGTATTATTATTAGTTTTTTAGTGGTTTTCTAGTTCTTCTCATTAATACTTTCTAGCAATTTTCTCATTTTACTCACTTTTATTATGCTTTATCGCTTTATGAATATCTTCAATCAAATGTGTTTCTTTAAATGTTTAAAGAGTTATAAAATTTGAATAAAACATGCTTTTAGAATTAAAACACTCCCCACTGGGAGAAATGCAAAACCTACTTGTTGAAGAAACAAAGGGAAAGGGCCCAAGGAGTTCTCTTGCATTGAGCAGGGAATAGGTGCCCATCTCCTCTTGGAACGCCGGAGCACCGTTTCTCTGGCGTGTCTTTTCCTCGGTACCTGCGTTCAGAGAAAGAAAATGAACGAAAGCGTCACAGCCTACTTTGTTGTAAGACAGTGGACAGCCCATAGACCTAATGCCTCCCTGGAGGGTCCGTCTCCACAATTTCATGCTGAAGCTACAGACCAGACAAGAAGGTCTTTTTCATTAGAAGGGTAAGGAAGACTGTATTCCAACTGCAAAGGTTTCATAAACTAGAGAATTTCCATTCACTTAGCTTTCTAACACCATACTTTCAGGTTAGGAAAATCATCACAGTACTTACTCTTAGTTCTTCTTGTTCTTTATCCTCTTTGCAACAATCTATAAACAAGTCTTACTTGTTTTTATTCTGCTAAAACCTCATACTCTCTGGATAACCAGAGCAAGAAAATGCATGTTCTTCACTGACTTAACATTCTATCTGCCCTGTCCAGTGTGGTAGCCCTGGCCATCTGTACATATTTACATTTAAGGTCATTAGAATTAAATAAAATAAAATTCCATCCTTCAGTTACACTAGCCACGTGCCAACTACTCAGTAGCCATCAATATTGGGCTGCCATATCAGAGAGTGGAGATTTTCAAACAGAATGTTGCAAAATGTTCTATGGGAGTTTATAGTGATTTCCATTTCATTTCATGGTATAGCAAAGAAGACATTTTGTTACTGAAGAATTAATTAATTAGTTTTATTAAACATCTATTAAAGTGCTAAGCAGTTATTTAAATTAATGCAGTTAACATCAATTAGTCGTGATCCAGTCCAAACCTTTCATTTCTGTCACTACTTTCGTAACGTACTCTTCATGATGTAGAATCAACAACTGCAGCGAATCATCGATCCCCTGAGCAACGGTCAGTACCATGCCATACACACACTTATTCCTACATACTCCGGGATTTCCATCAGAACCACCTGGGTTCCTATTTTAACATCAGAACCACTGTGGGTTCCTGAAGTTAGCCTCATATTCACTAGAAAGCACTGCTCTTAAAATTAACTTAACATACACCTATTGACTGTGGATAGCTCAGATATTACTAAGGCTATAATATAAGCAAAAAGGAGGTTAATTCATGCCTTCAAATAGGTAACTGCAAATATACTGTTTACACTAATAAAAAGATCTGCATCTTGTAATAGAGGGGTAACCAAACTGCCACTGCCTCACAAAAGCCATTACTTAGATGTTAGGGGTAGAAACCTTCACAGAGGAAATGGCATTTACATTGCACAAAGCAAAACCCCAGTTTTAGCCAGTGTTAAGAAGGGGGGTGGGTAGGGAGATGAGAGTAAACACAAGATAAGAAAAAAGAAGAGCAAAGGAAGGAAAAAATCCTGTTTCTCCTTTGGTCCTCCTGGCAATTTTTTTAAAAAATATTTAAATGAAACGAAAAGCATGCCTGCAAATGTCAGCGTGCTTAAAATACCTTCTGATGTTCCAGGAGCACAGGAATCTCCTTCTGGGTCTGTCTGCTCGAATCGGAAAGGCGTATGGTGAATGACCTTTTCTCATCAGATAACACAACAGCGCGGGCTGTGTACACTGACCCGTCACCTAGAACTCTGAAATCAGGGTCACTTGACTGGATGAGGTCTGCAGACTTGAGGCACTCTTGCAAATTAACTGCAAATAAAAATGTCCATGTTGTAAAGCAGAAATACATGCAAAAAAGTGTTAAAACAATTTATACAATTATCTTCAAAATCATGAAATAGAATGAAATAAACCAATCGCACTGCATTTGCCAAATATCTTAACCAGTCTCTTTACACGTATTTTTTAAAAGACAATTTTCTTTCAAATACCACGCAGCAGAAAGAAAGAAGGCGCTCCTACCCTTCGTGACAACACTGATGGAACTGGAAAGCGTTCTGCTGAGTGAAGTAAACTAGGCAGTGAGGGACAAATACCTTATGATCTCACTGATAACTGGAACCTAATTAACAAAACAAACTGGCAAGCAAAATATAGCCAGAGACACTGAAATCGAGGACAAATTGACAGTAACCAGAAGGGAGGGGACAGGGGAATGATGTGGGAAAGAAGGGAAAAGGATGAAATGAACATGCATTAGGGACCCATGAACAGAGACAAGGGGGGCTGGGATTGAGGGTGGGAGGTGGGCATGGGTAGGGCAGGGGAGAGTGGGTGGGAAATGGAGACAACTGTAAAAAATAAATTTAAAAAAGTAAAAAATAACTTGCATTGTTAAAGCAAAAAAAGAGACAATTTTCTTTCAGTTAAAAAATTAGTTCTTGATTATATATTTGTATTGAATGGTATGCTTTAAAACTTTCTGTGCTTCTAAAAGGTTTATGAAAATTATCTTCTTATAAAAGACATGTGTGTATAAAAGGGGTGTATATATCGTAGTACTGACATTGCTGAGCTACACGACCCCACACACACCTGAATAAATAAACAGAAAAGTTTCCTGAACAATAGAGTCTGAATCTTTTAATATACACCTGTCTTCAGTCCAAACAGCGATGCAGTGTGAGAGGTACGGAAATAGTCAAGTAAGACAAATGTACCTAGGAATCCACTCCAGAGGCACTTTTCTGTTACATTCTCGCCTAACCCCCCCCCCCCCACCCAACTCTCACCCCAGGGCTCACAGTTCTCTTTGTGTTCCCAGTTTGCCAAAACTCCCCACCAAAAATCCACATGGGGTCTTCTCTCCCTGGGAATTTTGTCTTCTAATAAAAGGTAAGCAAATATAGACATCAATTTAAGTGTTTTTATGCTTATATGAAAATATCCAATCCATCCCATTCTTCAACAGTCTGCCTTAATAGAAACCAAACTGATATTCACTTAAGTAATAATCTCTCAAAGAATTCATGGTATCCATACATAGCATTTTCACTTCAACCCTAATCTGTCTCAGGTGGAAATGTTTAGTGGAATAGAAGTAAACATCTGTAAGCATGAGGACCTATTTCTCTCACCTTCATGTTTTTAGCAGTTGTTAATCTCTGGCCTATTTCCCAGGAGGAGCACCCATGACCTCTCCTTACAACTTTTCCTTTCTTTCTCCCCTCAAAAATAACAGTGACATTTGTTTAATAAAATTGAGTGAGGCACTATACCCAGAAGTGGTATATATACTTCGTTGAAAAAAATCTTTGACCTCTCGCAGACAAGCTATGTATCCTTTTTAAGAAATCAGAATGCTTTCCTCCACTATTTCCTGCACTACGGGAAAAGCGTGCCTGGGCGTAACTTCCTGCTGTTGGAAAGTTTGAGGTTTCCTAACTCTTCAGTGTGCAAATGACTAAATTCCACCTTGAATGGAGTGGCTCACCTTTATGTTTCTCAATGCAGCCAGTGCACTGTTAAGACCCTGCACGGATTTTCCCAGCTCCTTACCTATATAGTTCTCTAGGGCTACAATCCTACAGCAATGAAAGGTTATGTCCCACTACATGTAATTCTTTATGCAATTTTAAACCCTTAAGCATGAATGACTATAAAAACATAGCTTAGAACATCAGCACTACCATAAACCACAGAATTTAATGAAGCTATAAAGATCAGAAACATATATTTAAATTACCTTGAATTGTATCTAAGTATAAATAATCAGGCTAATTCCACAATGCAAAGGTTAGATAACCTTCTCTTCCCTATGTAGGTAAACTAAATTTGTTTTAAAAACACTGTTTTGAAATTTCTCACCTCTGCCAACCATTTTGTCTGCCTCTAGGTTAGCAGGTGTATTAAGTATCACCTTTCTGCAGGCTTCACAAGCAAAATCGAAGACCTAGAATAAAGAAGTTCACGTGAATACAATAAAGAACAAAATTTTAGTTACACAAGGTAGATTCTAGAGGTTTGTACAGCACAGCGATTATACTTAACAATGCTGTATTGTACGCTTAAAATTAAAATGATAACAAATAATGAGGATGAGAGGAAACTTCTGGAGGCAATGGACATGTTTATGGCGCAGACCTCAGTGATGACTTCACATGTATCTCGTAAATGCATCACCAAACTCATTGTTTCATAGTGCGTGGATGGATACTTTCTGGGCAGACCTTGTATACTTACTTCCAAACCCATCGTTAAATATGTGCAGCTTTATGTATGTAAATCTTACCTCTATAAAGTGGTTTTTTAAATATGGTAAATAACAAAATTGCACAATCATCTCAACAGATGTAAAGCAAGCAACTGACAAAATTCAATATCCATTTATGTTTAAAAATGCTCAATAGACTAGAAATAGAAAGGAAGTTGCTCAACATGAGCAAGGGCACCTACAAAAACCAGCTACCATCAGACTCACGGGGGACTGCCCTCCTCTGACCTGAGGAACAGGACAGTGATGCCGGCTCTCACCACTTCTGTTCAACATTGTGTAAAGCTTCTTAGCCAGGGTAAATACACAGACAAGGAAAATTAAAGGCACAATGAGGAAAGAAGTAAAATTGTCTCTATTTGCAGATGATAAGACCATGTACATAGAAAATCCCAAGGAATCCACCAACAGAAAATCCAAACTAACAAATGAGTTCAGCAAGGTTGCAGGATGTAAGACCAAAGTACAAAAGTCGGCTGCATTCCTGCACACTAGCAATGAAAAACCGGGAAACACAAGCAAACATGCCACTTGAAATAGGTATCCCATCTTCACGCATCAGAAGACACTTTCCAAAAACACATCTACAGATTCAATGCAACCTCCATCAAAATCCCAAATTACTTTTTGGCAGCAATTGACCATTCACCATTATGGAAATACAAGGGACCCAAGGACCCAAATAAACCTGAGAAAGAACAAAGTTGGAGGGCATTTTTCCAATTTCAAAACTTACTGTAAAGAAATAACAACAAAGACAGCTTGGTATTGGCACAAGGATCAAAATACAGATAAATGGAATAAAACTAAAATCCCAGGAATAAGCACTTATATTTACAGATAGCTGGTTTGGGGTAACAGCTTCAAGAAAGTTCAAGGGGAAAAAAGTCTTTAACCAATGGTGCTGAGACATTTTGATACTCTCATGCAAAAAAAAAAATTGGACCCATACTTCATACCATGCATAGAAATTAACTCAGAATGTATCAGACCTAAATGTAAGAAGTAAAGCTAAACACTGAAGAGTAAATCTTCATGATTTGGGGTTAGGCGATGATTTCTTAAATATAACACTAAAAACATATAAACAATTAAAAAATTGGTAAATAGGGCATAATTGAAAATAAAAAATTTTGCTCTTCAAAAACTACCATAAAATGAACATTAAATCTACAGAAAATGAGAAAACATTTTCAAATTATATAAAAATTAAAAAATTTCAATCAAAATATATAAAGAAAGCGTATAATTCAATAATAAAAAGACACCACCACAAATGGGCAAAGAAATTAAATAGACATTAACCTAAGAAGATAGATACATGGCCATAAGCAGATGAAAAGATGCCCAATATCATCAGGCATTAGGAAAATGCAGACCTAAACCACAATGATATAACGACTAGAGTTATAACAACTAGACTTGCTTATGTCTGGCTGACATAAGCAAGACAGAAGATAACAAACTTTGACAAGGATGTGGAATAGCGGGAAACTTTATGCATTGCTGGTGGAAATGTAAAACAGGGTAGCAACTTTAAAACAGTTTGGCAGTTTCTTAAAAAATCAAACATAAACTTAACATATGACCAAGCAACTTTACACCCGACCAAAATAAATGAAAACCTATGTCCGCATAAAAACTGTACATGAATACTTACAGCAGCAATTTTGATAATATGCAAAGGGGAAGGGTTGTCAAGGCACATGTTTCAAAGACACATGGACAAAGCCAAAGGAGGGTAGGACTGAGCGTGGAAGGTGGGGATGGGTGGGGCAGTATTGGGGGGAAATGGAGACAACTGTACTTGAACAATAAAAAAAAGTGGAAACTCAACCCACATGTTCATCAGCTAATGAACAGATCAACAAAATGTGATACAGCCATAAAATTGAACGCTATTCTGCTGTAAAAAACAAAAACAAAAACAAAAAAACAATGCACTGCCTGGCTGGTGTGGCTAAATTGGTTGGAGAGTCAACCAGTAACCAAAAGGTTTCGGGTTTGATTCCAAAGCACATGTCTAGGCTGAAGGTTCAATCCCTGGTCTGGGTGCGTATGGGAGGTAACCAGTCAATGCTTTTCTTTTGCATCAAAGTTTTTCTATCTCCTATCTTCCTTTCTCTCTCTCTCCCCCTCTCTCTTTCTCTCTCTCTCTCTCTAAAAGCAATGAAAAAATGTCCTCAGGTGAGGATTTTAAAAAATGTGCTAATAGCTGCTACAATATGGATAACCTGAAAAACACTCTGCTCAGTGAAAGAAACTAGGTACAAAGTAGTACATGTTGTATGATATTATATAAAATGTCTACAAAAAGCAAATATATAGAAAAGGAGGATATTAGTTGCCTAGGGCTGGGGATAGGAATGGGAAATGGCTATAAAAGGGTATGAAGGGTTTTTTTTAAGGTGATGAAAATGTTTTAAAATCAGATTTTGGTAATGATTGTACATCCTGTAAATTTGCTAAAACCTATTCAATTATATACTTAGCGTGGGTAAATTTTATGGGATGTAAATTGTACCTTAACAAAGCCATTTAAAACAAAAGAGGGTATATTACCATTGATATAAAAATGATTCTTTCTACACCCACCTCTGCAAATTGGCAGTGATAGGCTCTTTCAAATTTACAAATTCACAAAGGTGATGTCATCAAAATAAAACTGAATAGTAACTACAAGAAAGTATCTTGTTTCTTATATAATCCAACATAAAACAGCTTCCTTCACAAAATTAAAAGCTTTTAAGTCATGGTAACAATTGTAAATACATATATATGCACAATCAAAATTCTTATACTAATATGTGCTCTTAATGTTACTATATTTCTGTAAGATTTATCTTGAATTAGTTAAGGTAAAAGAAAAAAAACCCTAAAAAATATGGACAAATAGGGTCAACATTAATTTAAATATAAACCCCAAAATCATGTTCAGAAAGTCATAATCAGATTGCTACAATTAAATAGTAAGTTGTTTGCCCTTAAGAAAATCCAACCACGTTTATATGCTCAGTTGATTACTGTTCCTTAAGAATATAGTTGTTCTCTTGGGGTGAAAAATGGTCTTGCTCAATAGTGCAGCAATTGGGGCAAATACAGCTTCACTCCATAATTGACGTTTTTCATGCTCAAAAGAAAATTTTCAACTATTTTAATCACAACTCTTTAAAATGTTTTAACTTAATTGTAAAATATTTAAGTCAGATATAATAAAAGCTCGTGTACCCATCCAGACTTTCAAAAAATTAAATTTTGTAATTTTCGCTTCATTTTTAATTCAAATTTACAGATATGGTTAGAGACCTACATTCCATTTCTTCTCTAAGGAATAGATTCTTATAGGTCCATGTATATATTTCATCTGTAGGTTTTTATACTTTTAACATATATGTATTATATATGCACATGCCTACAAAAAAGCATGTCCAGAAAAAGTCCAGCCATTGTTAATACAGCAAGAATGTACCACATGACACTGATGTAACCTGACAGCTTAGGAGAATGGACTGGAATGTATATACATGAACAATGACAACTTCACTGTACCAGTCAGTGGGGGCAGCAGATGTTGTTGAGTGATAATGTGTACTGTGTGGCAGTCACATTCAATATAACTGAGCAAGTAGAGCAATGAATCTGCAGCAAATTTTGCGTTAAGCTTGAACATTACTCCATGGAAACTATTCAGATGATTCAGAAGGCTTTCAGGGAGGATGCAATGAGTGCCACGCAAATAAAAGTGTGGCACAAATGCTTCAAAAATGGTTGTGAATCTGTTGAAAGTGATCCACATTCTGGAAGGCCTGCAATAAGCAGAACATCTGAGAATGTTGAATGTGTACAGGCTGCGAATCAACAAAGATCAGCGACTGACAGTGGGAGAACTAGAACCAGAAGCTGATCTGGGGATTCCAAAAACTACTGTGTCTGAGATTTTGGTACAGGATCTTGGCATGAAATGTGTTGTGGCAAAATTCATTCTGCACCTTCTGTTACCAGAGCAGAAGGAACACTGTGCCATAGTTGCTAATGACTTGATTCAAACCACTACCAACGAACCAGATTTCCTCAAGAAGGTTATAACCAGAGATGGATTGTGGGTATACAGTGATGATCCGGAAATGAAAACCCATCCAACCCAGTGGAAATTGCCTGGTTCTCCACACCCAAAGAAGTCATGGCAAAGTTGCAGCAAGATCAAGACCATGTTATCTGTGTTTCTGATTGGGAAGGTGTTGTCTATTAGAGTATGCCCCTCCGGGCCAAACAATTTAACGAGTACTGCTTCAATTTTCTTTGTAAGCTGAGAAATGCAATACAACCAAAACGGCCACAGGTATGGGCAACTGGTGATTGGCAGCTTCATCATAACATGCCCACTCATGCATCACATCTCATGCAGATGTTTTTGATGCAATATCAAATCACCAGGTGACTCAACTCCCCTACCGCCCAGATTTGGCACCCTGTGACTTCTCAGTTTTCTCCAAACTAAAATCACCTTTGAAATGGAAGAGACTTCAGACCATTGATGAGATTCAGGAAAATACCAGAGGGCAGCTGATGGCAAGTGGAAGAACTGCCTGAGGTCCCAAGGTGCCTACTTTGAAGGGGACTGAGGTGTCAGTGTCCCATGTACAATGTTCCCTGTATTTTGTATCTTCCTCAGTAAGTGT